GATATGTGGCTATAAGAACTGTCTCTTCCCAAAAATGTTTTAGAACATAGGAGGAAAACATGAGAGATCGGGCTACCACTAAGAGGTGCATGTTTTTCCTTTTAATAACTCCATTTTGTTGCAGAGTATTAAAACTCATGAGCTTAGGTGAATTATTCCATGATTTAGGAGATAGATGATAAGGATATATTTAAAATATTCTTTGATATTATCAGTTTTAAGGACTTGAATCTTGGTTTGAAATTGAGTTTGTACCATAGTATTGAAGTTTTGGAAGATTTGGCTAATCTCATTTTTTTTTTCATAAGAAATACCCAAGTTAACCTAGTATGATCATCAATCATTATGAATCAAGGCAAAAGGGTGAGAAGTTTTGCATGTGAAAATTAGATAATCACTATGTGTGTGTTTGGAAAGTTAGCACATTTCACAATTGAAAAGCCTTGAAATTTTTTTTCATGAATAAGGATGGATATAATTTTTCAAGGTATGCAAAATTTAAATGACCTACTCAATAGTGCCACAACATAATTTTATTATCTTTATTGGAAGGTAAATCTAACCAACTCTTACAGGACATACTAGTATCTTAGGTCTAATTTCTGAAAAAAGCATCTTCTTTGAGGAGGTAGAGTTCAGTACACATCTTAGTACTGCCAATCTTCTTCCTCAATTCCAATTCCCGAAATTCACACATGAAAGAAAAGAATTTAGCTTCAAATTGAGAACATATAAAACTAGGTTTAGATTCAAATTCTTGGTAATTCTCACTGTCCAAGAACCTTCAACCTTGGAGAGGGAATCATCAGAAATTCGAACATTGCAGTTTTCCTTACTGGGACTGTATTGATGGAATAATTTGACATCTCCAGTCATGTGATTTGAAGCAATACAGTTTATAATCCAAGTATGAGGGTTATCTCAAAAAAATAATAATAATCCAAGTATGAGGGTGTTTTGTGCTAGTAAACATGGCAAGAGAATTATTACCTTTTTGGACTATTAATTCAATTCTGAGAGAGGGAACAGGAGACTAATGGAGGGTGTTTCAGCTAAGGAGTTTCGAGAGTGCCTCCAGTTGTTCTTTACTGAAGAGACTTTGTTTAGGAGGTTGTTTTTCTTCTATGGAGGCAGCATAGGCTCTTTTGTCTTTATTGTTAAATGTATGCTTCCAATCAGTAGGTTTACCACGAATTTTCTGGCAGTTTTCCTTCAAGTGTCCTATTTTTCCACAGTTATCACACCAAGGACAATTAGCCTTCTTTCAGTTTTTAATGGCATGATTTAAATGGGATCCTCAGGTCACCAAGTCTGATCT